ATCAACGTGCTCCTCTCTAAGTTGGAAATAAATGATTCCATGGGAATCCGTGCTCCTGCTCGAAGCCAGGGGAAGCTGCAGCACCTCCAGGAGCCAAATTAATCTGATTAATCCAAATTATCTGCCTAAAAGTGCTGCTTGCTTTTAAAAGCCTCCCTGTGCTTTTGTTCTCACCCAATTCCTCACAGGGGGAGAGGTGAGCGATGGGTTGGAAATTTGTAGGGTTTAATCAGGATCTTTGTAACTGCTTCCAGAAATTCTTGGAGGCAAAGCAGGAAGGGTTAGGTTGGAATTTTTGTTCTTGCAGGCCCAGGAAGGTTCTGGGCTGCGCTGCTCATGGGGTGCACAAGCATAGCCACAATTTCCAAAGGTGCCTCACCTCCTCCCTTTCCTTCTAACTCCTCTTGGATGCTTGATTTGGGTTTAAACTCTGAAAATTCTGCCCTCAGGAGATAAAAATTTGGCAAAGCAGGTGCTGCTTGCATTTATTTTGAGCCCCAGCTTGCTGGTGTAAAAACATGCATAATTCCCACCCTCTGGAACTGCAGCACTTGGAGCCCACGGGACAGAAAGATTGAGATGTTTGACAGAAAAAGCTCCTCTTGTAATTTGAGATTGAAACACTTCTGTTCTGGCACAAACAGATTTTTTACTGATGGAGCAATGAGGAAAATCAGATTAGAACTTTCAACACATTCCTGGAGAGGGAAAGGGCATCCAGCCCCCTTCTGGAAACACTCAGGAGAAGTTTATCCTCAAGTTTTTCATGTCTCCTGCAGACATAACATCCTTGGGAAGAAGGGCTTTCTCCTTCCTTCCCCTTCTGAATCTCAGGGTGCTGGAGGACCACGTGTTTCAGGTTTTGAAGTGGATGAACCTCTTGAAAACCTCTACCTCTAGGGCAGATAAATCGGATTAATCTGCTACCCTGGCAGATCATGCTGCCCAAAGCACAGGCGGAATATTTGAGATTTATTTATTTCCTTAAAGGAGTTTGGGGTTTACAATTGATCCTCTACATTAAAGATGATTTCAGTCTGACTCTTAGACCCATAAAAAGCCCATTAGGAATTTAGAGAACTCCACCAGGAGTTTAGAGGTGCTTTTATGTCTTTTTTGGGAATGAGTGCTACAACCCTTCCAATTGCTGGGCTCTGCTGGGTTAATGGTTGGACTCGATGAGCCTAAAGGTCTTTTCCATCCTAAATTATTCCAGGATTGATGAATGCAGGAACTGTGGAGATGAGGTTGGGCTGCCCCACATGGTGTTGCCCCAAAGGTCCTGCTGTAGTGGGGAGGCTGCTGAAGCCAGAGGAGCTCCAGGGCTGATGTTCTTCCCATAATTTGAATATGTTTTTCCTGAACTTCCAGCCCTTTCTCATAGCTGTGCTCCAGCCTGTTCTCCTGAGCCACACAAATCACAGGGAAAGGTAGAGCCCAAAGCTGCTCCATAAATTCTCTTGTTTGTGCAGCTTTGTACACCCTCAGGGGGTACTTCTGCTCCTCTAATTATTATTTATATTTTGGAAAGAACTCTGTGGCCACCATGGCATGATAAAAAGACAGCAACACCTTGTGAATTCCACCAAACTTTAAATGTGATCTTTTCACTAATATATTAGAATTAAATTGCTACCATTTGCCCAACAAGCCAGGTGTGTCCCGGGGGAGGGAAAACAACCTTTCCACAGCCACAGTTTTTCCAGGTTCCCATTCCAGCTTGGAAATGTGCTGGAGCGGAGTTAGAGTGTCATGACCAGCTTCTGCTCCAAGATCTGGGCATCTCCCAAGGGTTTTTCAGCACATGTGTTAAATGTACAAATAAATTTATTTGGGTGGTGGTGACTCCGATTTGGGTCTAAGAAAACCCAGGAAAAATCAACACCACATTCCCAGCAGAGTGGCGATTATTCAGTTGTGCTGATGTTGGTTTGGAGGCATCCTCAGAGCTCCTCTTTCCTTCATTCCAGGCAAGGAAGGGCTACCAGAAAACCATCCTGGAAATCAACACGCCCAAAGTGGAGCAGGTCCCCATAGTCGACATCATGTTCAATGACTTCGGAGAAGCAGCACAGAAATTTGGATTCGAGGTGGGACCAGCTTGCTTCCTGGGCTAAAAGAGCCACCTGAACCTAGTCTCCAAATGAGCAACCTCGTAACCTCATTGCGCCATTTAATTAAAAACAAAAAAAGAGAAAAAAGAAAAAAAAACGGAGAAAAAAAAGAATTCCTCGTCACGTGCACGGTCTGAAACTGGACAGCGATGGGTTATTATTTTTTTTCCTCTCTCCCACCTATTTTGTTGTGCCCCTGGTTTTGCCCCCAGCCCCTCTGTGCCCCCTCAGCCATTCCCAGGATGGATATGGAATCTCATGACCAACAGCCCCACACGGAGACCTGGCCCTGTCCCTGCTGCCACCGCTGCTGCCCCGTGGCCACCGAGCTGAGCCCACCTCCAGCAAACTCCTCCTGCCTCCTCCTCTTCTTCTTCTCGCCAGGAAGCGTTTGTTTGTTCCTAAGGAAAAAATAAAATGGAAAAAACTTGAAATTCCTCGTGTCCAACTCGATGTTGAAGTCCCAGCAGTCCTGGATCTGAAGCTCCTCAGAGGGGTTTTGTTGCCTTCCACGAGGTTTGGATCAGCTCCAGCAAGGAGATGCCACGGCCAATTCCAGAATTTTCCGTGTTTCCTCCGCTGAGTTTGCCTCATTCCACATTTCCCAAAGTGCTGACTCAAGGTCACACTGGGCATCTCCTTGCCGTGTCTTAAAGGTGCTTCTATTTTTGTATGTTTGTGAGTAAATGTTTGTGTTGTATTTTATTTGAAATGTTGGAATGTTTCCGCCTTCAAACCATGCAAGTGACCTTGTCTGTATTAAAGCCAGCCCATCCCAGCCGAGCTTCCAGCTGGGAATGAAGACAGCAGCTCCTGTCCCTCTTCCCAGCCCCAAACTGGGATCTGGAGCCTTGGAATTACCCCCAGGATCAGCTGCAAACCACCCCCCTGAGCCACAGATGCCTTTTGCAATTATTCCTTTCCAAATTAAGAAAAGCCACTTTTTTAACAAATTCCCTGCAAATCCCCTGATCTAAAAGCAGGATCTGCATTGAGTCTCTGCCTTTTCATCCACTTGCTTAATATTTTAAATTAATTCTCCTTTTTTTCTTTCAGCATTCCTTTAAAATGATAAGAATTAAACCTGAATCCATTCCCAGTGGCGGATCCCAGTGGCAGGGGAAATCCATTTGTCCTCTCTGAATATCAAGAATAAAAATAAAAACGAAAAAAAAAAAAAAAAGAAGAAAAAAAAAAAGGTGCTTTTTATAGTTATTTTTTACATATCTCTGTGGTGCTATCTGATAATTTTAACACAACACTGGGGATACCCTGCCACTGGCCAATCTCCCACTTGGCTTTTTAGGCACTTTCAGGCAGATTTTGACTGCTGATAAATGCATGGCACCTTCTTATCTCTTCTGTCCAAATCCTGCTCCTCTCCTTCCTTGGATGTAAAAAAAGCATTAAATGTCCTTACAATTTTTTAAATTATTATTATTATTATTATTATTTTGGTTTTCCCAAGGATATCCATGTCTTTTCCCGGTTGGAAGCAGAGCAGATTGTCCTCAGTGGCTGAACCTTTGTGGTGCTAATTTATGTCGATGTTGGGTGTCCTGAAGCCGTGGGGGTGCTGCCCGCCCAGCAATCCGGGGAATTTGCAATTTTCCTGCTCTTCCCACTTTTTTTTTTTTTTTTTTAATTCCTTCCACGGCTCACAACGTGCTGACACCCTCTTCTTTTCCCATTTATTTTGCCTCCTTGCCCGTTTTCCTTCTTCAGGTCTCTCAGCTGGAAAATAACTGTTGCAAGGTGGGGTTTTTTTGTAAATTATTATTATTATTCTTCAGCTCAAGGGGGATTTTTCACCACCAAGGAAAAGACATCACATTTACTGTGAAAAAAGCCTATATATGATGTCTTTTCTCCCCTCCTGCCCAAACTGAGAGCAGCAGCATCCGAGGAAGGGAGGCAAAGCCGTGCTGGAGGGAGCGGCGATGCCAGCGGTGCTTTTTGGAGGAGCCGTGTCCATCCCTCTCCCTTCTTCTCCTGTGCTCTCTCCCACTTAAAGGAAATTAAAAAAATAAAAAAACCCAAAAGGTGCTACCCTAAAAACTGCAGACTCCGGGCAGCAGAGCAGTGAAAAGGAATTTAGGATAATAAATAAGGAATTCAGCTTCTCAGTCACCTTGGCAACAGCGGGAAGGGCAGGAAAGGTTGCACATCCCAGCAAAGCCATATCCTGATATTTCTGATATTTGTCCACACCTGTGTGTCTGCCCAGGTCATGGGATTCTGTTCTCAATTTTCTCATCAAGGGAGCTTTTTTTTTTTTTTCCCTTTGATTTCTCTGCTTGAAGAAGAAGAAAAAGAAAAAGAATGAAAATTTCCTCTGTTGAATTCCACAGTGTTGTAATTGTACTGAGCTCCCAACTGTTCCGATCCCCCCCAGACCACTTAGCTACGGTATATTGCAATAAAATTACTACTTGTATTTGCAGACCTTCTTTTTGTGTAATTTTATTTCCCTCCTCCCCTTAATATATATTGACTTGAACAAATGTTGATAAGAAAAATAAAACCTATGGAAAAAAACCCCCAACTTTTAGTACATAAGGCCCTTTTTAAAATATAGTGTCAAATGCCGTATTGTACATTTCTTCAAAGTCCAATAAACATGTCATAAAATTTAAGTGTAATGCCCATAAGAGCTATTTTTAAATATTTTAAACCTGTGTAATAAAGGAATAAATGTAATAGATTTTTTTTTTCAATAAATCAAGTTTACTGTTCCACCTAAACCCCCGTGATGTTGAATCTCTTCTTGGAGTTGATTGCAGCGGGATTTCCTCAGGACCCCCCTGCCCTGTGGAGCCTGGAAAGTTCATCAGAGGAGCAGTGGAAGTGCTTAAAGGTAAATAAATACTGTAAAATACAATCCAAACCCATCATGGGGAGAAATTCCAGGCCTGGAATTGTTTATTTGTTGGGTTTTGTCTTTTTTTCCTCAGTGAGAAATTCCAGTGCAAAAGTCCAACCTGGTTTTGGTGGCTGGGATGTGGAGGAGAAGATTATGTGGCCACCTTCTTCTTCACCTTCTCCACAGTAGCAGAAGAGTCACCAGAGGAGTTTTTCTGATCTTCTCATCCCAATTCAGGAAAAAAAAAATAAAATAAATTTCCAGCTTCTTGGTGAGCTCCTCAACCCCTAATTTCCCATTCTTGGCCCCAAGGCTCTGCTGTGTGGAGGGAAACTCCATGGGGGACACTTTTCTCATGCTCTCCTCCTCCTCTCCTGCAGGTTTCACTCCAGGATCCTCTGGAATTCACTGTGGGAATCTGCACCAGTGGCTGCCCCCGGATCCGAGTCCCTCTGGTTCTCAGGGGCTCCTTCAAACACGCCCTGGTCCGTGCTGCAGTTCCAGGAGGTGCTGGACCTTCAGGAGGTGACGTCTGGAGCACTGCAGGTGGGTCAGGGGCCACCAGCCCAGCTCTGCAGTGACCAAGCCAAGCTCTGTGTCCCAAAAGCTTCTGCCCTTCGTTCTTTGGTTCTGCAGATCTTTGATGATCTTCATTTTTTGCTGAAAGGTGTCCAGAGAAGGAGCCAAAGTCACAGATCAGGTTGGGTTGGAAGGGAAATTGAAGATCAGCCAGTTCCATGGGCAGGGACACCTTCCACAGCCCAGGGTGCTCCTAACTCCATCCAAGCTGGACCTGAAATGGTTTAATCTTTAGTCATTTAGTCTGTCATTAACTTCAAGGAGTAGCTTTGGGAAATCTTGGGGTATTATGGCCAAATCTTCATCCAGATGAACCTCAGAAAGGCAGAGGTACCACAACCTGCAGGAAGAAATGAGGGCAAAATAAGTTTATTTACTTAAACCCAGCTGGAAATACTTCAATTGCACCTTGATGGTGCTTCAAGGTGAGCCCAGCCCCATCTCACCAGTTGTGATTTGCACTCAATCACTTTGCAGCAAATTCCTCGGTGCTGAGGGAAGCTTTGATCTGCTATTAGGGAGAAACAGAGATCTGAGGAGGGATCTGTTTCTGGCACTGCCAGACACAGGAGCCCTGGCAGATCTTTCACCTTTTTTGCTAGAACAAAGTCCATGATTTAGCTCCAAAGCTGTAACTCCAGCAGGTGAAATACTGAGGGGAATTTTTACAAGAGCCACAGAAAGAGCAGCAGGTTATTGAGACCGAGTGTGAGCACCCAAATCTGCTCAGTTATGGGGTGAGGATGGGGCTGCTCATCCCAAATCCCAGCAGCAGCTGCCTCCCCACCCCAGGGATCCTACACAGGCAGGAGCACAAACCTCAGGCAGCAGCAAAGGGAGGATGAAAAACACCAAGCTCAGTACCCAGGGAGGAGCAGAGCAGCACCAGCCCAGGGAGAGGGAATTATCCACGGGCAGCTGATCCCAGTGGGGATTCCACAGCTCTTAAAGCAGGGAAAGGGAGGCTGCAGGGCTTGGGGCTGCTGCTCTGCCTTGCCATGCAGGTGGAGCTTTATTCTAAATGCCCTGGGCTGGGATTTCTGCCCCAGGGCTGGGATTTCTGCCCCAGGGCTGGGATTTCTGCCCTGGGCTGGGATTTCTGCCCTGGGCTGGGATTTCTGTCCTGGGCTGGGATTTCTGCCCTGGGCTGGGATTTCTGCCCTGAGCTGGGATTTCTGTCCTGCTGTGTGAGGATTGCTGGTGAAGGCTGCAGAGTTTTCCCCACGCTGTTGGTTCAGCAGTTACCTGAACTGACCCAGGATGTGTCCATGTGCTTCCCACTGCTTCCAGGGGTGAAACGAGCTGCTCTGGGATTTGCTGTCTGCCTGAGAAATGGGAACTGTTCTTTGGTTTGGTTTCAGCCCTGCCCTGGAGGAAGAAGCCCAGCCCTTCGTGCTGCTCTGTGACTAGTGACCCCCTGCTTTTTATCTTGGATTCCCTTGGCTTGCTTCAGTTGGACTCAGTCATCTTAAGGTCTTTTACAACCTGAAGAATTTTGTGATCTGACTGATGGAGCACTGGCTGTCCCTAAAAAAGCCCATCCTATGTGATTTGTAAGAGTGGGATAGAGAACAGAGCCAAGAGGCTCCCACCAAACACAGCTCCCCCTGCCCTGCTTCGACCTGGAGCTGCACCAGGAGGGACCAGCACATCCCAGTTCCTCCTGGGAGCTGGGAAAGGGGACAAGATCACAACCCTGCCATGTCCCACACATTGTGACCACAGCTTTTCCTCTCCACAAGCTCTGGTTGGGACGCCCCTGCTGCTGTCGCCTCTCCAAGAGATGTTCCTCCCCCATCTCCTTATATCCTGTATTTACAACAGACTGGCAAAAATAAAAATGGCCAAAAAAGGAGCGTTGGCACTGATTAAATTTAGAGACCAGATCCTGGGCATCCCCTCCTTGTCTAGGTGAGTTTTGGCAAAGAAGAAGAGAAGCTGTGAATGGGTGTTTTATACAAAGGACTGAGCAGCCTGTGCCACCAGAGCTCTCCTGGAGAGACAGAAACAGCAGGACCAAGTGGGAGGCTGGAATGAGGAGGGGAGAGGATTGTGCATAAATTAGCATGGAGAAAATATGCAAATTGTTGGGTAGAGTGAGGCTCTCATGGTATTCAAAGGAGCTGGAGCTATTCTTGTCCTTCAGCTGCTTTTTGTCCTGCATCTTCTCCCAGCCAGGCTGGATTTGACTTGGGTTTGTTTTTATTAATGTCTCAAGCAAAGAGTAGAATTGATCTGACCCACAGCTCTGGGAAAAGGAAAAAAAACCTACAAAAAACTGTCATATGTCTTCCTATGAGAAAAAACAAGTGAGCTGGCAGTGCCTCTGGCAGTTCAGCACCACCTGTAAATTAATCTAAAGAGTGCCCAGCAAAGCTGAAGCAGTGCAAGTCAAATGTGTCCCCTCTTTTCACACCTTGCCCAGGAGCTGTGCCTCTGCAAATTACCTGCCCTGGCTTTCCAGCCAGACAATTCCCCTGTTTTTTGATATATTTTTTTAACAGGACTGCTCAGTGCTGTGGGTGTCACTGGGCACCATGAGCCCCGTGTCCCTCTGTCATGAGGATTTATCATAATTATCCATCAATTATTGTATCCCTGCATAATCTGGATTGTCCTTAATTTTTATTTTCTTCCCACATGCTTTTCCTTTAAGGCAAGAGCAACCTTTGGCTGGGCTGCTGTTCCCAACATCAGTCAGGGGCTGTTTAGGCAGGGCTGCTCCCCTGCCATTGTGCAATGACCCAAAACCAGCCTTGGAAATAATTCATCCTTCTTAATTCATCCTTCCCTCAGCACCTCCAGCTCTGGGGAATCCAATCCCTTTTCCCATCAAGGGGATCTTCTCTGGAAGTGCTGGATTTGGGGCTCTTGCACTGAAAACCCATTTTGCTTTTGATCTGAGAGCAGGAGGAGTTTAGTGTGCTGTACTTTTATTTATGGCACCCATTGCCACTTCATTTATTCTTTGTAACCTCTCTGCCTGCAGATCTTTGCCATCCTGGGGCATCGTGGCAGCAAAGTGATTTTCTCCAGAAGCACAATCCTCGTGCTTCCCACAGGCCTCGCTCCTACCTGGCAGCAAACAAAACCCAATTCATGCTGCTACTAAATGCTTTCCTCCAGCAACCCCGAGCACAAACAAACACCCCAAAGAAACCAAGCACAGAAAAGCCTGCAGAAAGCAGCTGTTCCCCTCCTTCAGAGAGGAGCCAACGTGCTTGTTCCTTCAGAGATGCGCAACGAGGGGAGCTGCGAAGCGCTGAAATGACATCTTGTAACGCGCCGGCTGTCACGCTCATGGGCACCCCTGCTCCTGCTGCTGCACAGCTGAACAGCCAGAGCCAGCGTGGCAGCCCTGGCACTCCGTGTTCTCACCCTGCCTAATTAGTAATATGTTAATTTGACAATGAGATGTTGTTCTTTGCGGAAAATTTCCTGCGCCGCGCTTGGGTTCTTTGCGGGTTTTTTTGGCGGCTGCTTCTCGGCTCGCGGAGTTTTTTGTTTTCTCGGTTTTCTCAGCCCGGGCAGAGCAGAGCCTGAGGGATCTTTTTGGCACATCCTTGGAAATGTCCAAGGCCAGGTTGGATGGGATTGGGAGCAAAGCCTCCTTTCAGCCCCATCTCCCCCAGAGCTGAAGGTTGGGCCGCCCCTGCTCCTCACTGCCACCAGCACGATGCTGAATTTCAGCAGGGAGCACCAGCCACTAAAAAAACCCCAAAATTGTCCCTTTTTTGGATTTTCCCTTCAAGCAGGTTGATCCAAGACCCTGTTGAAACAGAAATCAAAAACCTGCCAGACTCGAAACATTAATTAAGACACACAACAGGGAGAAAGGGGGAGAAGGAAGGAGGGGAGCATCCATTCAGGAATTATCTGCTCCACAAAGCAGCGTTCATGGCTTCCACACACATCCATCATTTTTGGGGAGGGGAAAAGCAAGAAATTAAATCCAACCCCACAGGAAGTTTGTCCACCATGGATTTAATTTCCCAACTTGCATCAGGCAAAGATTAACCTTGCTGAAGGGCACCAGTGGAGCAGGGAGGAATGCACAAATTAATCCCTGCTATGAGTTTCTTCAGGAGGAAACACTGAGCAAGATTAAATATTTATTGTATATAAATACCTTCTTTCCCACCTCCCCCATTTCCTCTCCTGATCTGCATTTCAGGCTCCTTCCAGCAGAGCCAGTTTGCCCAGCAAGAGTGCAAGGGTTTGTTTTTCCTCCTGGATGAGGAGGAAGGTTTGAGGAATAATTCATTTGCCACCTTGATTTTTCCTTGCCTCCCCTCCCGTGATTGATACCGTGGCACTTAAAGGGGAGAAAATCAAGTTGTGCTGATCTATGACCAGACACTATTTATTCTTGTAGAACCTCATCTGCAATTTTCTTCAGCATCTCCAGAATTAAAATCCCTTTGCAATCTCTCCAGCTGGCTGAAAATGTGCCATTTCCCTGCCTCCCCTCCTCAGATGTCTTTTGCCTCTGATCAGGGCACGCCGTTATCGATGATGTGATTCTGCTTTACATTCAGATGCTCCTGGGGTTTTTTGGACCATAAATAATGTTCCTGTGCAGCCCAGGCAGAATCATTCTGAGGGTTTGGGGCTTTTTTTTTTTTTTTCCCTTTTCTTATTCCTTTTCCTTCTCTCTTTCCCTTTCTATCTTTCTTTCTCCAGCTCTTGCAAGGGGTGATAAATTCATCATTTCTTCCCCCGTAGCAACCGCCAACGTGCAATATGGAGCCTGTTCCTTCACACCTGGGCTTTCAGCTCAGGGGTGACCCTGCAGACAGAGAAAAAAAAACTTTTTCCATGGATCCTGGGCTTCCTGGGAGGAACAAACCAGCCTGGAACAGAGCATGGCTCAGCACTTTAATCCTAGAAAGCAGCAGAGAGGCACGGTGTCCCTCTGTTGTCGACAGCCTGCTCCATGCTGGGGACATTGCTGGAGCAGATGAAGATGAAAACTGGGTTTTTGAGAGATTTCCGTGTTTTCCATGGATATTCCTCCTTGATGGGATGATGGGATTTGGGCTGGCATGGATGTGCCCTCTGGATCCTGCCCCAGCCTTCTGGAGTAGAGAAGTTTTTTAGGGTTGCAGTCACCAGGCTAAATATCATATTTAGTAAGCTCAAAGTGGCACATTTTACTTAAATCTAAATGGATTTCTACCTTGTTAAATTTTTACTCTGTCTCAACACAATTCATCCTCCTCTCCCTGCTCTAGAACTTTCTTCCTGCTGCCCAGGGATGGGGAGAACTCCCAGGCTCCATCAGGATGGGTTTTCCAATCATTTTGGGGATCCCTACCTTCAATTTCCAGCACCAGCAGCCCTTTGTGGCTCCAAGGGAGCCCACCTGGAGATGTCAGTGCCACAGAGCCATTCCCCACTGGAAAAGGCTTTGCTGGGGCCCTTCCAGCAGCCTCCACACGGCTGAATTCCTGTTTGTTTTTTAAAAACCCGAGATTTTTGCGTTGTTTTGTCTCTCATTTTGCAGAGTTAATCGGATTGGCAAGCACAGAAAGGAGCTGTCAGGGGAAGCAGCTGCCGAGCAGCACAAAGCTGGGTGTGTAATCCAAGCTTTACCCACAGCCTTATTAAGATCGAGATGTCTCATTACAGGCTGGATTTCCAGCTGGATTTCACAGCTTTTGTGATTTTTCCCTTTCACCCCTTCCTCTTCCCAACGTTATTTTTTATTTTTTTTTTCCCACTCATATAATTCACTGCTTTTCGCTGTGGGGGAAAGACTTTGGTTGAACACGTGTTGCACTGAGCAACATCCTCAATTTAAATGGAAATTCTATCAATAACAAATGTTCTCTCTCTTTCCTCGCCCGGGGAAGGGCCTGAAAATATCATTCAGAGGGGAAAAAAAAACCCCTCCAGAGCTCAAAGCCAGCACAAGAAGGACCACAGTCCTCTAGCAGGACCAATTACAGATAATAAAGTGCCCATTTGTTGCAGCTGAGATGGTGTAAATGAGCTGGAGGAAAAAGCAGTTCGGGAATCCAGGCTGAAAAATCAAATGAAGGGTGAGGGGAAGTGGGAATCTCCTTATGGAGTGACTGTGATCATTTATTGCAGCAGCTTTGGGCAGAAATAGAGGCAGGGAAAGGGATCCTGGAACAGCTCCTGGAAGGAATTTTGGGTGATCCAGTCAAGGGCATGAGGAGTTTAAGGTGGGTAAAGGGACCAAAGGCATGACTGGGTCCCAGCCTGATCTCCTCTCCAAGTCCTCTTCTCTTTTCCCATTGTTAATTTATCATTTCAAGCCTGGCTTGTTGGGGCAGAGATTTTTCTGTGTCAGGTAATGCTGGGAATGCCCTGCAACACATGGGAAAAACCTAAACACTGAAATCTAAGTTAAAATACATTTGTCCCTCTTCTCCAAGGGAGAAAACCTATGAAAAAATATTCAGTTTTTCCACCGTCACCCAAAATTCCAGTAATCTTCAGAAATTACTCTTTTCTGGTTGAGAAACTTTTCCAAAGGAGAAACTTTGCCAGGTGTCCATATTGTTAGGAAGCATTTTACTCCTGAAAGAGATGCTTTGAGGGCAATTTTTCAGCTGGCTGCAGAAATAAATCATTGAGCATTGCTGCCTTTGGCTGGTGAGATTTACAGGGGCTGGGCAGGTGATTTATAGGGGGTGGGAGGAAGATGCTTTTTGACTGCAATCCATGGAGCAAGTCCTGGGCTCCTCCCCAGCTGGAGCTGCACGGGGTGAGGATCAGATCCATGGATTTCCTTCCAGGATGCAGAATTTCATTAGGATCAGGCTCTTTTGGGGGTGTTGGGGCGCGGGGAGAGGCAGCCAAGCACCCCCAATCCCACATTTCCTGCTCTGATGGGGCTCAGGCTGCTCCCCTTTGTTTTCCAGAGCCAGAATTCCAGGAGCAGAGGTAAATCCCATCCCAGGTGTGTATTAATCAGGAATACTCAGGTTGGGAGGGATAAACACCTTTTTCTCTTTATATTGGGTTTATTTCATTTAAGCTCTGCTGTCCCTGTGCTCCCAGCTCAAGGCACACCTCACACGCTCCTGCTGCAGGGCAGGTTTCTCCTCTGAGGCTCCAGCTCCTCCAAATATGGGGAAAAAATCAAAAATTCCCAATCCCTGCCCAGCTTTGGGGTGTAGCTGCTTTTCTAAATCCGTCGTGCTGCATTTGTCACGGTGATGGATCCGCTGCCCATATGTTTAAATACCACGGAAATGCAGCCTGGCAAATATCTGCTCACCCAGGAGGAATCATTTGGTTTGACAGGCAATCAAGGCAAAATCAGTAATTTTTCCTCGTCATCACCAGCTCTGAGAGCCTTTGGAGAAGTTTCCATGTCCTTCTCCCTCTGTGGAGCCTCTCCATTTGCTGCTGGGCTCAGAGCAGTTTTCTTTTTTTGCAAAACCCATCACCTTCCTCCAAAACAACCCAAGCAGGGCCTTGCCCTGCTCTGTGCTGTAAATCACAGCAGGAAAAATGAAATGTAGGAGCTTCCCAAGCCCCAGCAGGGCAGGGATGGTGCTGGATTCATCAATCCCAAGGCGTGGCTGGAGCTTAAGCTTTGCCCTTTACGAGCAGTGCTGCGTTTTAGGAGAGATTTCTGAGCCTGTGGCAACGACAGGAGAGAGGAGAAATGAAACATAATCACCCTCAGTGTCTGCCTGGCCTGAGTTTCTGCAGGAAAAGCTGGAAGAGCCACCTGTGTGAAATAAAAGGCTTCAAGGAGCAAAGGAATCAATTTTATCCAGAGTGGTTTTTCTCACAGGCTGAGGGATAGATCTTCTCTGCCCCAGTGCACATCCTTGGTTAATAACTGGAGTCTTCAGCAGGAAATACTGGGGGAGAAAACTGCATTTTCAGCCCTGGAGAGAGGGAAGGAGCAGCACTTCCCGAGGAGCACGAGAGTTGTGAAAGCTCTTTAACACCTTTAGTTCCTGTGTAGCATCTGCTGATATCTTATTTTTGGCACCTATCAAGCATCTATTATCCCTGCTGAGATTTTACCCTGTCGTGTTTGTGTATGGAAAAATAAAATCCACCAAATAATGAGGAAATGCTGGCAGTAAAAGAAATAAAAATGCAGATTCTTCTGGGTCTGGAGCTGCAAAGTGACGGATTGTTCCATAGACAGGAACCCCCGGGGATTTAGGGGAATTTCAGCCACCCAAGGAGTTTTTCAGAACATATTCCTTACTCCAAAATCAATTATTGGATCGACTGGGAGAACCTCACCCCCTCAGGGCAGCCCTTCCACTGATCCAAAGGGGTGCTGGGATTTTTCCAGGGTGGAGGAACAAGGGAAGGTTAAAAACTTCATTAATATGTTAATGGTGGAGAAACTTCTGCTAAAACTCATTTCCAACCCATCACCTCTTCCCCTCTACTGCAGCTTGGTACTAAATGACTTTTATGGGATCAGGGCATGGCTTGGAAAGGCCCATCCAAGGGTTCTGAGACACCTTCCACCATCCCAGGGTGCTCCAACCTGGCCTTGGACACTTCCAGGGATGGGGCAGCCACAATTTTTATTCTTTCCTCAGCCTTCCTGAGAGAATTTTCCTCTGGTTGGATCTTCCAGGGCTGGATCCACAAAGTTTCCAACCACGTGAAGAATTTCCCTTCCAAGGATCACACAAGGATCTTGTCTGTCCCAAGCTGGCAGCCAGAGAAGGGCTGGGAGTTTGTGGGCACCAAGTTGGGAAACTCAGGGGGCTCCCCTGGCTGCTGTTGTTATTCATCTTCTGCCTCAAAAATATCATTTCACTTCCTTGTCAGGAATGAAAGAAATCAAGGATTGATTAGAAGGGGACCCTAAAATTTTGCTGTTGGGAAATCACATCGTGTGCTGCGTAAAACAAAAGAAACTCAGGGGTTTTTCTGCTCTTTCATGGGGCCTCTTTCTGAATTGGAATGAATGAGATGATGATAAGGAGATAAGAAGAGGATATTGAAAGAACAGTGGAAATTGTTTTAGGAATAGATCTCAAGGGGGAAGGCAGTTAGAGAAATTAAGCCAATTAGGCTGGATATGGGTTGTTTTTCCCTTTCCTGAAGAAGCTCTCCAAGGTGGATAATGAAGGCCAAGACAGATGTAAGGATTTGTATTCCTGGCTGTGGAGTTTTAATTAGTGCCGGGGTCTTTCTGCAGGGCCACGTTGACAGCCAAGGGTAGGCTGACCCCTTTCCTTTCCTTTCCTTTCCTTTCCTTTCCTTTCCTTTCCTTTCCTTTCCTTTCCTTTCCTTTCCTTTCCTTTCCTTTCCTTTCCTTTCCTTTCCTTTCCTTTCCTTTCCTTTCCTTTCCTTTCCTTTCCTTTCCTTTCCTTTCCTTTCCTTTCCTTTCCTTTCCTTTCCTTTCCTTTCCTTTCCTTTCCTTTCCTTTCCTTTCCTTTCCTTTCCTTTCCTTTCCTTTCCTTTCCTTTCCTTTCCTTTCCTTTCCTTTCCTTTCCTTTCCTTTCCTTTCCTTTCCTTTCCTTTCCTTTCCTTTCCTTTCCTTTCCTTTCCTTTCCTTTCCTTTCCTTTCCTTTCCTTTCCTTTTCCCCTTTACCCCCCTTTTTTTTCCCTTTTCCCCCCTTTCCCTCAACTTCCTTCCAGCCCTGCTCATCCCCAGGGCTCTCACATCCCAGCTCCGTGCTCCCAGCTGTGTCAAAAGCAAAATGAGAGCCACAAACCCCAAAGGCAGAGCAAACACATCCTGCAGGAGTGAGGTGAGAAGATTCCAGCCAGAAATTCCTTCCTGGGCATCCTTGTGTGAGGCACAGGGAGCTGGAGATGGGCAGAGGGACAAGGGGACAAAGGGACGGATGTTTTGGGGTCTGCTGGAATGGGAATCTCCCTCCTGTTTGCTCAGCTTGGCACAAAAACCACCGGGACACGCCAAGTGCTGCTCCCCTGCCACCCCCTGTGCTCTGCCCACAGGCAAACACTGATTTCTCCATTCCCTGTCCTACCTTTTTACCACCTCCCTGTTATCTCCAGCTCCTTTCAAGAGAGCTGCTGTGAGACTTCTTCTTAAGGAAATCTGAGGAAAGCAAAGGCACCTTTCAAGTGCTGCTGATTTCAATGCCTTGTCTTGCACTGCTCCAGCACATTCCCCAAGAGCTCTTTGAAATACCAACACTAATCAGGAAAAGTTCCATTTTCTGCATGTGCTGCATCCCTGGCTGGTGGCTGAGCTGTGCCTGCCACTGCAGCGCCTTCCCTGGCACTGTCTATGGGGAAAAACCTGAACCCCAGGAGAGAACAGAGATTTTTCTCTTCCCAGGACACTGCTGGAGCTCTGTGGGGATGAAAGTGAGAGTGGATTTTAGTCTTAGTGCAGCAGGGAAGCTCAAAATGCCTTTGTGAAGTTGATCTTTGAAGGGCTGGCTGAGATCAGAGTAAGATCCAGGGAAGTTCCTGGTGTCTGATAAAACACTCAGGAGAAACTCAGTCCCACACTTGCTCCCCTTGGCACAAGGAACTTCCAGCCAAGTGTGATAAAAGTGGGGGAAAAAAACATTTTTTAAAGTGATTTAATTTAACAACTGAGTGCTGATGAGGATCTGGAGCTTCCCAGCTCGGGATTTGCTTTGATTTGGGAATGGAGCTGGTTTTCCAGAGGGAAATTAACTTTGTGCAGCTGGCCCTGCTCATTGTGACCCTCAGCATCACCTCCAGCTCCATTCCCAGGATCCAGGGGACAGGAGGAGCTGCAGGCAGTGCTCCTCTCCCTCCCAAACTTTGAGGGAGAAAGCTTTCCCATTTTGAGGAGAAATTCACTCCAAGAGTCTGACATGGATTAGTGTGTGTGCTCAGAATAACCCGGGCTGCTCAGCACGCCGTTCATCTCCGGGGTTTATGGAGGCACAACGATTATTTGCAGGTCTTTGAGAAGGGAGTATCGCTCTCATCCCCTTTGTAACCACGTCTGCATCTGCTCTGGGCTGGAGTAAATCAGCTGGCTCAGCCTGCCAAGTCCCTGCTCTTACACCAGGGCAAAACCCACAGAAATGAGAGCAGAATCGAGTCCAAAGCTGGCAGTAAATGAACTGCAGCAGCAAAAGCCACTTTAATGGATGTGTACTGCAGCTTAATGGATATGTACAGCTCTTGTTTTATTGCTGGGCTTCAGGAGAGTAGCAAGCCTTTAATTGACTTTGATAGAAGAGGGTCTCCTTAGCGCTGCAGTCGAGGGCAAAACCAATCATTAATATAATTAAGGCATTTACTTCCAGCATGTGTTTGTTCCTTCTTACTGTAACTCCTGCCTGGCAAACTCCTGGCTGCAGGATGACCTTGGAGTCGGGCTGCTCCTCATTTTGTTGTGGGAAAGAGGGGAATGTTTCACCCCTGCTGTGCTCAACCAGCCCAGCCTGCTGGAGCTTTGTGCTTTTACCTTCACACAGTCAGCACCCAGGGGTGGCTTGGAGGCTCAGGGACTGCAAGGTGCTGCCTCTGCACCTGAACAGAGCATCCCTCACCTGTCTGGGCCCTGGGAGCTGCTTTCTGTCCCAAACCTGTCCCCCCTCTCTGCTTCCCTTCCCTGTGTCCTTGAGAGGAGCTGCAGGGATGGGGGTGGGCAGGGGCTGCCAAGGAAGAAAACCCAGGGCACCTTCTCCTCA